CCCCCCCCCTCGACGCAGGTCCTCAACGGCATGGCCGACCGCGCTGCCGACACCTCCAAGCCCATGGTCCCGGTGGGCTTCGTGCCGACCATCCACTACTATGGCTGGCGGCGGATCTTCGGCTTCTTCCAGGACTATGCGCAGATGCGCCTGGCCGGCCCGACGGCCCTGGCCGCGGTCCTGAACAAGTGGCGCCCCCTGCGTCTGGGGGACTTTGCCCGGGTCGACGAGCAGGCCGACCTGCGCCGGGAGCTCCGCATGCACCTGGCCGGCGGCGACGAGGGCCAGCGGGTCCTGTACAACCCCCGGGCGGTGGACCTCCGCAAGCGGCTGCTCATCTTCGACCTGGAGGCCCCGGTGGCCGGCGAGGGGACCGGCGCCGAGCATGGGCCTCTGCCCAGCAACGGCGTGCCGGTCATCCCCTCTGCCCGGCCGGTTGCCGTGTGGGACTTCGAGGAGCTGGCTCGTCTGCAGGAGGCCGGCTACGCGTCCAAGTAGGAGCCGCCTGCGTGGGCTCCCTCCCCCCCCCCCCCGTTTCCCTTGCCTTGTTGGCTGGCCGCCTTTTTTTTTCCTTTCCCCTGCCCCTTTCCCTCCATCCCGCTGCATCCTTTTCTACCCCGCCAACACATGCAGCAATACACTCTGATAGACCGTAGATGGTGCCCGCGTTTCCCGGGTCTAGGCGATGGGGGGGGGGGGCGGGGGGATACACGCCCGGACGCACTTTCACGCCCGCACACACAAACACGTTCACAAATAGATGCCCTTTCGGCACGCACGCGCGCACCCCCCCCTGGCCCGGTGTCCGACCAAGGGCCTTCTCCGCGCCAGTGGGTGTCACTGGGGATCGGGCCGAGGGTGACCACACGCGGTCGGCGGATCGTTGGCAGTTGATCTTGGCGCCGCCCCGGCGCGGTGGGCGCCGATCTTTCGGCCAGGACCCAGGACCGGCGCCGGAGCTCTCGGCGACGGGGCGACCATCGAGCGCGTGCCCTCCCCCCCCTCTCTCCCCCTCTTTCCCGCTCTCTCCCCCTCTTTCCCGCTCTCTCTCTCCCCCCGCCCGCCCGCCCTCCTCGCCCGCCCTCCTGCCCCGTTTGATGCAGCGCTCGGCCCTGCTCTTGCCGCTGTCTGGACTTCCTCGCCACCTGCTTTACACAATCATGACTACCGCCAATGCCGCGCGGTCGGGGGCTGCTGCGTCCGCCGACGGCGCGCCCGATGCCTCTGCCTCGGCCCCGGGCCCCGCCGCGGCGACCGTCGCCCCGGGTGCCAGCGTCCCGAAGAGCGTCTTCGATGGGATCAAGCGCCCCGAGCCGGAGGCGTTGCCCAACCGGCCGAGCAAGCGCCTGAAGCAGTCGCTGGCTCACGCGTCCAAGGACGAGTGCGAGGTGTACTATGAGAATGGTGCGCGCGTTCCCCCCCGTCTGGGGGCCCTAATGGCCGGGCTCCTGTCCTTGTCCGCCCGGCCGGCCACTGACGCACCCTTTATGTCGCCCCCCCCCCCCGAATGGGCACAGGCCTGCGCAAGACCAAGCCCTACACCTTCGACTACCGGTCCAATGTCAAGGCTCGCTGGATTGGCCGGACCCTGATGGACGTTTTCTCCAAGGAGTTCCTGGATCTGACTCCGGAGTATGTGGTGCGCTCGTCGAGGCCCGAAAGTCTTGCGTCTCCGGCGCTCACGGTCTGCCTGTCATCCCCGGTCTTCCTGCTCCTTGTCTTCTCCCTCACTTGCCCCGGCCAGCGCCATTGACCCGGCGACGCACCCCCCCCCCCCCCTCGCCCCCGCCCCCCCCCCCCCGGCCCCCTCTGGCCCTCCACCCATCTCTAGCCGGCCCCCCGGCCCCGGCCACGCCACATCTGGCTGCTTACTCGGGCGGTGCGCACGCTCAGGTGGCACAGACTACCCTTTGCTCACCGCCAGTCCTGCCAGGCCCAATCACCCCCGACGCCAGCCAGGCCCCGAGTGCACAGGAGGTTCTAGCCCCAGCCACAGAGGGATGGGGTGGGACCATGGCCGTGGTGCCGAGGGGGCCACCGGTCGCGGCGGCGTTGGGGCCCGAGGGCCGTGACTCGTCCACGGTGGGGGACGAGGTGGTGAT